CCAGGACCTTAAAACTTGTTCATTTTGGGTGGTGTGCTAGAGTATTGTAAAACTCAAGAAAAGAAAAAAATCAAAAGCCGAGAAAGAGAACGTGAAGGGAAATCAGGAACCTTGTTCCAGATGAGAATGTTAGGATAAGTATGTTACTGATGAGCATGTTACTGATGAGTACGCATCTGGATGCAAGTTTGAATTTCAGAGACATACTGGAAATGGAAAGAAAATGAGGTGACTAGCTTTATACTTTGTACCTCATTTTGCAATTAAATAATTATTATGTATTAAAAAAAACCTGTCAATATACTAACTATCCTAAACTGTGCTCTGATAGTTCCTGGTGACATCATACGAGCCTGAGGCGTTTTCTTCCCCATTAGGGATCTCCACCTGGTAAAGCCAGATTACACTACAGAAAAAAATTTCAGGATGAGCCAGAGTAGAGTGGAGTTAGTGAGCTCATTGAGTATTTAGACAGCAAGTCATCTGGGGAATGACAGGACACTGCCCCAGGCTTTTGGACAGTCATGCTTGGCTGCCACACTGCTGTGTGTGATCCACGGCTTTCTAGGTTGCATTCTACAACAGATGTTATTTATAACAAAGTTTAAGCAAGGCTCAAAGTGGAAGTAAAAATGTACGAGTTGGCTTACTTATTTTCCTTAAAGACTTTTTAAAATGTAGGGTGTTTTTTTGTATTAGGCTTTCAGCTTAGATGTAGGCATGAGAAAGGAGTGCTAACACGGTAAAGCTCAAGATTACTATGGTTCTGCTCATTTGTAGTTTTAGCATCTTTGCTTTGTTTTTGACTCAGCAAGAAAGGCCAAGTAGATTCCAGGTAAGGAGAACTTCTTTGTTTTCTCACACCCTTTTGCTTTTTTCCGTTGTTCTATCCTATATCACAGGGACCCAGAGACTCCCTCTGGGAATTAGGCTTGGTGCTTGTCACCCTCTGTAAGTATCTGTAGCCAGCTGAATTCAAGGAAAAGCTAGGGATAATGAAAGACTTGACAGGCCATTGCTGTAGCAGCCCTTGGGTCTTCTATGGGGAACCCAACTCCATGGATATCCTTGGAAGAACGGTTGGGGAGCTTGGGGAACTTCTCCTAGCCTTGTCTTTGTTGTCCCTTCTAAAGCTGGGTTATGTGGAACCTGCAGCCCTTTCCACAAAGTACAGTGAGCAGAGGTGGGTGCTACCTAAAGTCGTAAGCTCTTTGAAGAATATTCAAATTACTATTTATTATAGCTCCAAAAGGGAAATGCCCAGTTGCCCATTGGCAGGCAGAATGGATATAAACATACATTGTATTCCTTTTCTTTCTTTTTCTTTCTTTCTTTCTTTATTTTTTTTATTGAGAAAAGGAGAAAAAAAACCAAAAAAACAAGTTTCCACCTCCTCCTAGCTTCCCATTTCCCTCCCCCTCCTCCCACCCTACGCCCCCTCCTCCCACCTTTCTCCCCCTCCCCCCACTCCTTTCCCCCTCCCTCTCCAGACCAAAGAGCAGTCAGGGTTTTCTGCCCTGTGGTAAGACCTAGGACCTCCCACCTCCGTCCATATCTAGGAAGGTGAACATCGAAACTGGCTAGGCTCCCACAAAGCCTTTTCATTGCTAAAGGTGAAAGAATTATTTCAAAATACAAAATGGCATGAGAAAAAAAAATTAAAGGCATCCCAGTATCTACCATCCATATTTGATATAGTTTGTTTTTTCTTTTTTTAACTTTCAGAGCTAGGATCTTCCACTAGCAGTGTTTTGTGCTGCGAGTGGAGTTGGGCAGACCGAGTTATGTGATTACCTCCTTGAAATCCAAGAGTGGGTGACCTGAGCTTTCTGTGCACATCCTCCCTTGACACCAAGCGAATTGCCTGTCACGGGCACCACACAGAATTTACCAAGATTAGCTGCCGATGAAGTGAAGGAAGCCATGCTTTCCGTTTCCGAGTGCTGCCATAGCCAGTGCCTGCAGCTGTGGGGAAGGACAAAGCGCCATTCTGTTGAAGTGCTTCAAGCAAATGCCCTTTTCATCAGATTGTTGTGCAGATACCTTAAATGTTTTTTTTTTTTTTTTTTTTTTTTTTTGGTTTTTCGAGACAGGGTTTCTCTGTGGTTTTGGAGCCTGTCCTGGAACTAGCTCTTGTAGGCCAGGCTGGTCTTGAACTCACAGAGATCCGCCTGCCTCTGCCTCCCGAGTGCTGGGATTAAAGGCGTGCGCCACCACCGCCCGGCCCTTAAATGTTTTTGATTGTGCTAATGTGAAAAAAAAATAAATGAGAGTAGTCTTGATGTTCACAGTGACAGTGTTCACTGTTGGCAGGGACACAGTCCCTGTCACTTCCACCCCAGCAAGCTCACAAGAATGCAGTCTGTTGAGAATACTATTGTCATGGGGCTAAACTTGAGTCTGCTCTAGTTTTTGTTAGAAGAGTCATGCCCAGCTTTCTGTTCTTCACTGTTAGCAGTAATGATTGATCTATGTGTCTCCTTATGACTGCTTGTCACAGGGCCATGCTCAGTGAGACTGGTTCCCTTTCCCCACTGCTTGCTCAGTCATTACCCTAAGTTGCTAAGGGCAAGCCTTAAGCCCATTTTCTAGAATTCTTCACTCTAATAGAGCTGCTGCTCTATTTGCAAATGAGCAAGCAGGCCTGGAGGGATTAAATACTGTAACTAGCAGAGCCATAATTCAAAGCTAATTTTGATTGGCATCACAGCTTTAGGTTCTAACCAGTCACTCAGTGGGAACCCCTTCTCCCTCTCATTACTCTGGTGAACACGATTAACAGAACCCTAAAAAGTTGTTATGTTTCTAGTAACAATTTTCTTAGTGCTTTGCAGTCTTACTGGATTGGGCCTTCTCTGGAGTCTGAGTTAGTTGGGGCTGGATCTTGATCACATTTCACAGATGAAAGCTGTCGGGAAACATCATGAACTTACCCAGCTAATGTTGGGCTGCAGGTTGAACCATGGTCTTTTAAACATAGTTCACTTGTTTTCCCTATGTGTTTTTACTTGATCCATGCCCTCTTTGGATAACCTTCCACCTCATGTTTAACGTGAAGATTAACTGTTTCCCCTTTTCTTTTATTCTTTATTTACTCTTTGGAAATTTCACATCACGCACCCCAATCGTGCTCACTTCCCGGTCCCTCTATATCTACCACACATCCCTGCAGCATGTTCTCCCAAAGTTACTTCAAAACAGAACAAACAAAAACCTACCTTGTTCTTCCATCTTTCCAACACTCCTTCATTCATTCTAGTGGCATTGGGAGCTTCAGTGTGTTACTCAGTAAACCCTTTTGCCCCACCTGCAAAATGTTCATTGCCATTGGGCCCTCACTGAAACCCTCTTGGATATCTTGCCCCAAGTCGTGAAGATCCCAAGGCTATCATTCTGCAGGACAATCCCTTTGTGTACTCCAGCAGGTCAGAGATGGTACAGCTGTTAGGGTGGGCCAACCCAAGGCCTAGAATGTGGGTCTGGGTGGTGCCTAAGCTGGTCAGTCTTCTCTCGTAGGCCCATGCCATTGGAGCCAGCTCTCCTATGGCTGTGGTGAGGGGTAGGGCCATCTCTCATGAGTGCTGGGGATCAGCTCTCCTTTGGGGGGAGGGTCCAGCTCTCCTGCTGCAGTGTCTAGCAAGAGTCAGGGCCAGCTGTCTTGGGTGCAGTGAGGGACAGAGCTGGCTTAGCAAGGCCCTTGGCTTTCAACACATATGTGGTAACATGAGTCATGGACATCAGCCCATGTTGGGCTACAGACCTAGACATGGCCCATGGCAGTAGCCCAGGCCTGAATGACCTCCATGGCCATAGGTGGCAGCAGGGGTCACTATGATTGGTGTGGCCCTGGCTGCAATATGGTCCTCAGGCACCAACATGGTCTCAGATTGTAGCCTAGGCCCCAGGTATCCGTGCGGCCTTTGGTGGTATCGTGGGTCACAAACATCAACATAGAACCTGACTGTGGTAGGACCGGGGACCCAGACATGGTGCTTGGTAGCAGCCCAGGGTTGGATGTCACCATGGTCCCAGGTGGCAGTGCAGGCCACTCAGATTGGCATGGCCCCTGTGGCAGCAAAGCAACAGACCCCTGGCATTGGCATTGCCTTCTATAGTATTAGGAACCACTGATGCCAGCACAGACCCTGTCTGCAGTAGGGCCAAGGATGCAGACATGGCCCTTGGCAGCAATCCTCGCCCAGACAACACCATGACTTCAGCTTCCAACACCAAAATGGCCACAGGATGCTGCCTAGACCCTGGGCATCCACGTGGCCTTTAGTGGTACCAAAGGCTATAGCCATTAGAGACCCACCTATGGTGGTACCAAGGACCCAGAAATGGTCCATGGAACAGCCCTGGCCTGGATGACACACATGGCCCCAGGTGGCAGTGGGGGCCACACAGATTGGTGTGGCCCTGGCAGCAACATGGCCCTCATGCGCCAACATGGCCACAGGATGCAGCCTAGACTGTGGGCATCCTTGTGGCCTTTGGTGGCACCACAGACTGTGGACATCAACATAGACCATGGACCCAGACGTGGTCCTCATCAACTGCCCTGGCTTGGATGTCATCTTGGTCCCAGGTGGAAGCACAGGCCACTCTGGTAATGTGGCTCTCAGACACCAACGTGGTCCCATGTGGCAGCCCAGATCCTCCCCGTCATTTAAGATGGAGATGTGCCTTTTTCCCACTAGTCACAGATTTTAGAGGATCAATGGGCAGGGGAACCTTACAAAATCCCGGAGCTATGCAATGCTTACATACCCATGTCTGCTGAGTCACTTGTTCCTTATGGTATGGATTAATAGTTTTTTGTTTAAAGATGTATTTACTTGTAACTCTGTTGTCCTGATATTCTGTAAAGGCATATGTTTTTGAATGAAAAGACCTCATGACCTTAAGTGAGATTTTTACTTATCTTTTGGCTGTGTATATGAGTTCAGTGTTTTCTGGAGTCATGGTAGCTGACAGGGCCTCTTCTTGGTTGCTTTGAGGTTGCAGCTGCTCCATGGTGGTTACCTGTCAAAGGCGCTAACTGGAGGCACCCAGAGGGCCCAGACTCCAGCATTCTGCACAGGTGAGTCTGGTCATGCCTAGTTTATGGGGTTCATTCAAAAAAAAAAAACCAATTCTGTGCTCTTGCAGAACTCAGTAGCTGTCTTCATATGTAAAGAGAATGGCAAGCGTGGCCAGCCGCTCTTGGGGAAGGAAGTGGATGGCAGGAAATAATGTCTGCAAAGGCCTAGCCACTGTCTTGTCAGAGTTCTCCTCACAGATTTCTTCCCTTTGGATAGTCAATCACAAATGTCATGACACGTTTACTAATGGCAGTCTAGCCATGAATGAGTCTTTATGTGGGAAAAGACTCTCTTATGGATAAGTAGTTGCGTCCTACCAGGTGGCCTTGGGTATAGGATCCATGCGCTCTGTAGTCCTGCAGTGACATACTTAGAAGCCACAGTCTGACTAAAAAAAAAAAAACAGAGTGGCAAGTCGGCCAGCAGGTCTCCAGGGTGACAAGGAGGTAATTATCTCAAGCAAAAATAGAGATGCATGCTAACCCTGGAGATGGAGAGGGGATTCGATTATGACTCAGCTTCCCAACAGTCCGGGAACCGTGTTCTCCTAACCCGGTTCTTCAGATGGTGTTTTAGGCCTTTGTTTTTAACCACGTTCTGGGTTATTGCTCTTACAGCCAGGGAGCGGGGAGTACATGAAGTTCAACTTCAGAGATACAACCCCTTGACAGATACCGAACTTTTCACAGTTTGAGCTGGCTTCCTCTAGAAATAGACACTGAGGTAGGATGTTGTAGGATGCCTGGAGACCGGGGAGAACTGGGCTTCTTAGTTCCCAATTCATGTCTTCTGTCCCAAATCCAAAGTTGATTGTCAAGCTAATAGAAGGAAAACCCGAAGGAGAGTGCATTTTCAGTTTGTGGTGCTAAGAATTGTTCTCCCATTGGGCTGCACCCCCACACTGAACTGTACTTTTAAAATTTTGTACTAGATGCTGAGTTGCTCAGGAACATTTTTTGAGAAAGTTAATGAATATCCTGGTAGGAATTCAGATATGCATGAGGTGTGGAGTGGGCCATCTAATCACTTTAAAAAGTGACCAGTGGTTTCAGTGCCATTGACTTCCTCCATCTCTCAGGAAAGGCTGACTTTGCATCGGCCAGAACACTGATTCTCAACCTTACTAATGCTGTGACCTTTTATACAGTGTTCAGGTTGTGGTGACCCCAATCATAAAATCATTTTCATTGCTACTTCATAATTTTAGTTTTGTTAGTTATGAATTGAAATGTAAGTAAATATTTGATATATCAGATATCTGATATGCAACCCCAGAGAAGGGGTTGTTTGACTCCCAAAAGGGTTGTGACCCACAGGTTGAGAACCACTGTGCTAGTGTGAGACAGATTATGCTGGCTGATTCTTAGCAGGGTAGCAGAAAGACGCAAAGTTTAAAGTCAGGTGTCTGGAAACAGGCTAAGGTGAGAGTTTGACATGTAGAAAAGAATGTCTGTTAGCAACCCACACTTGAGTAAGGGAGTGGATGCAAAACTGCAGTGCTGATGGAGGAAGGTCATTGGTTAAATAAAAAGAAACTGCTTGGCCCTCATTGGTTAGAAGATAGGTGGGAGGAGTAAACAGAACAGAACGCTGGGAGGAAGAGGAAGTGAGCTCAGACTCCATAGCTCTCCTCTCGGGAGCAGACGCCTCAGAGAGATGCCATGCTCCGCTCTCCCGGGCAGACGCACGCCATGAAGCTCCAACCCCGGATGGACATAGGCTAGAATCTTCCCGGTAAGACCGGTGCCCACAGATTATTAGAGATGGGTTGATCGGGATATCAGAATTAGCCAGTAAGGGCTAGAGCTAAAGGGCCAAGCAGTGTTTAAATGAATACAGTTTGTGTGTTGTTATTTCGGGCATAAGCTAGCCAGGCAGCCGTGGTGCTGGGGACACAGCCCTGCCGCCCCTATTACTACACAGTGCAGGTCCAACAAAGCTCTGGCCCAGTTCACATGGAGCTCTGAGGTGTGTACAACCTATGAGCCAAGTCTCTGTGGGCCTTATGTTCCTGTTGTGATAGTCACTGGGGACTCGAAGGTGCCCCTGGCTGTTCGGCATCTGCTGATGGCACTCTCAGCAATGAACCAGTGGGCAGAGCTTCCCTGTGTCTACCATCTCTGTGGAATCTGTGGCATCCAAGGCTTCAAACTAAAGAAATGCTTGAGTTCAGGCCCAAGACTAGCTGTGACCCACTTGGGGGTCTAAGACTCACAGTCCCTGTGGACAGTACAGATGTGCCATGGCTAGTATTTGAAGTCATGACCAGATGGAGGGAGGGGTGACTATGATCGCTTTCTGAATAGAGTTCCTGTTTTCTGTTCAGGTCAATGTCTTTTTTTAACTGTGGTTGCTCCTCCCTAGGCCAAATCATCCGGTTCTCCATGTCTCCTGGAATGACGCTGTTGCCTACTGCACGTGGGCAGGGAAGAGGTTGCCCACGGAGGCAGAGTGGGAGTACAGCTGTAGAGGAGGCCTGCAGAACAGGTACTCACCTCGGAAGGCCTTGCATTATCCACCCTTCGCGGAGTCCACCCCTTCTCCCCCACCCCACCCCCGTCCTCTTCCTTTCAGCTCCGTGGAACTGCTATGGTCAGAAAGTTGATTAATGACAGCTCTTGTTCTTGCTAGCTTTTCTTCTTCCTTGTGAGGTCCTTTGGTGACACTAGGGGGTGAGTCACCAACTCTTTCCAGTTCCTAAAGCCAGGTATGGGGCCAAATGGGCTCTCTGCAGTCCCAGAGTAGTTCTAGCCGTGCATCCCCTCTTGTATATCCCTCCCAGAGCCGCTTGGCAGGCTGCCCTGTTTTTATTATTTTCTTATTTTAACTGTCTTCTGAAGCAGTGGTATTTCTCTGCTCCTACAGCCATAAGATAGAAAACTCATGTTTGGGTCACATCTTCTAGGAAAAGCTCCTTAAAATAGACAAGGCTTTAAAAAAAAGTGTGGTGTGCTGTGCCTGCTCATGCTACCATATAAGTCCAGGACGATGCCTCGTTTCTCAGATTTCTAGACGGCTTCTTTCAGCCACGTCATTTACTTCAGGCCTTCTCCCCAGTGAGGGGAGTCCACAGTTGTTATGCCCTTGCCATGAACTGTTATAAAGACATTTTTTAAGATTCCAATTAAAAGCTATATTTATGAGTATGTCTTTTAAGGCAGATGTTCATTTGGAACAAACGTGCATTGTTTGCTCTCTTTGGTTGCATCTTTTCTCTTGACTGCAGTCCAGAAGCCTGTGCACCGTGCTGATGCCTGTGTCTCTCCCGATAGGCTTTTCCCCTGGGGCAACAAACTGCAGCCCAAAGGCCAGCATTATGCCAACCTTTGGCAGGGCGAGTTTCCTGTGGCCAACACCGGGGACGATGGCTTCCAAGGAACTGCACCTGTGAGTAGGCAGTGTGGGTTTGTTTTTATTTTTGTTTTGTTTTGTTTTGTTTTAATAACTCTCCAGGGGTCCACCACCCATCTCCCAAATCAATGTGCAGGAATGCCCAACCTTAGCTTGGCTTATTTTTAGCCAGCTTTCCTAACTTAAATTATTCCATTTTTCTGTAACTATATTTTGCCTCTGGGCTTTTTACCTTTCTTAATTCTATATGTCTTTCTTCCCTTCTTACTCCATGGTTGTTTGTGTGACTGGCCCCTGGCATTCTGCTCTCCTGTTCTTGCTCTCTCTTGAACCTAGATTCTCTTTCTGTTTTATTCTCTCTGCCTGGCAGCCCCAGCTGTTTCTCTCTCCTGCCTAGCTATTGGCTGTTCAGCTCATTATTAGACCAGTCAGGCGTTTTAGACAAAGTAACACAGCTTCACAGACTTACACAAATGCAACATAAAAGAATGCAGCACATCTTTGCATCATTAAACAAATATTCTACAACCTAAGTGAGCATACCACATCTTAAACTAATATTCCACAGCAAGCCAGGCTTCTAGAGAAGGACATTGACCCTGGGAGTTAAGGCACTCTCGAAATGGGATGAAAGGACCTGGTGCTGCACCACGTGCCTCTAATACCAGCAGTTGGGAGGCTGAGGCAGGAAGATCAGAAGTTCAGTGTAGCGACATAGTGAGGTCTAGGCAAGCTCAAGTTACTTGAGACCCTATCTGAAGCACACAAAACCAGGGCCAGGGAAACTCCTCAGTCCGTAGAGGTACTTGCTGGCAAGTGTAGTGACCTAAGTTGCCACCTCGAACCTGTGTAGTGTAAGGAAAGAGCAAGCTCTCATAAGTCATCTCTTGGTTTCCACACTTGCCCTGTGGCACAAGCATGTCCAAATACATTGTGTGTCTGTGTGTGTGTGTGTGTGTGTGTGTACGCACACACACACACACACATACACACACTGTTAAAAACCAAAGCAAAAAACACAAACCAGTCCTCCCCCGCTCCAAAAAAAAATAAAGTGAAACGCATCTCTCGTTCTCTGGCTGGCATTGTTCTCCTGACACTATCGACCCTCAAGAGTGCTGAACGCTAGAAATCATCAGATGTTTCTTTCTGACTGTGTGATGCTGACCATAGGAGGTTTAGAAAGAGACACGCAGGGTAGAGGAAACTAGCCTGGAATTCTTCCCCTCAGGTTAGCATTATGGTCCCCACTTTTCCATTCATTGTAGGGTTCGTGGTGACTGTGGCAGCAGCTTTGCAGTGTGCCAGGCACAGTGCATCTAGCTCCTGCACTACTTCTTCCGGCCAAGAGGCCCCCACGAAGTCCTCATTCTGTACCCTGCTCCATACCACAAGTCTTGGCTAAGCCTGAAGGAAGGTAGAAATCATCACCTCCCTAAGACCGCTAATTTCTTACCAAAGAAAACTCTACGTCTGGAAGACGAACAGCCATCCTGAAGAAAGTTGAGGAGGAACCAGCTACCAGATGGCTTGGTTTGCCTTTTCTGCCTCTATTGAATAATGCATCGTCTCCCCTCAGTTTGTGTTGGCTTAACATATATGTAACTCACATACATGGAACTGGATACAAACACCAGGCATCATGAGCTTGTACAGGCTAAGTGTCCTCAAACAACTTGTTTTTTAACTTAATTCTGCTCTAAACACCGTGGTGCCTAACAATAGCTCAAACTGATTTTCAGTTTCTCTTAGATCAGGTGCTCCTTCGCTCTTTCTTTTCCAAGAATTTTTTGGTCTTTAACTCTCATTTAGATAGTTTTCAAGCTCAAGCTTTCCAACCATTTGGTCATATTCCAAATAACATATCTGTGTCAAATATATAAATAGACTTTGCAGGAAGAGTTTCTTGAGGAAAAAAAATACAAATTAAAAAAGAAAAAAAACTGTTTGAAAGACTCACTGGAAGAAAATGATTGTTTTCTTCAAACAAACCCTGTTATGGGCTATTTCTCCATCACAAAACTTCTTTCCTCATTATGGTAAGAGAAAGTAGAAATGCCTTTGTCTGGTCTGAAGAATGGTACCCCTCAAAACTTCTGCTGAAATATAGTCCTCAGTTTAACAGAGCTAAGAGAAGGGCCCCAGGGAGGTGACTAAGGGATGATTTGGTATCATGAGTACTTTCACAGACAGGCTCAAAGTTGAATAGGCTGTGCTATGGCTCTGGCCATAGGAGGACACAGTGCTCCTTAGTCTCTTCAAAGGGATACACAAATTCCTTTCTTACTGAGATTTCCAGTCTACGGCTATACCACCCTGAACGCGCCCGATCTCGTCTGATCTCGGAAGCTAAGCAGGGTCGGGCCTGGTTAGTACTTGGATGGGAGATTTCCATCTTAGACTTCCCAATTTCCAGATCTGTGAGACATGTCTGTGTTTATCAATGCTTCAGGCTATGGCATTTTGTTATAGCAGCACAAATTAACTGAGACAGTTTTTAAACAGAGCAGCACTACTGGACTGTCAGTAAGAGCTCCGTGAGAAAGGAACTCTTCTACGTCAATGAAAAGAAACAGGCCATGGGCACTCCTGAATACCACTTAGTGAAGAAAGTTTTCTAGGTTGGGAGTGTAGCTCAGAGGTAGAACACATGTTTAGCTACAGGCAAGGTATTGGGTTTGATTCTTGGAAAGAAAGGAAAGGGAGATGGGGTGTAGAGAGAAGTTTTCTAATTTTTAAACACTGATTACTGCTGGGAATATTTTTTAAAAAGTAAGAGATAGGTTGGTATATATATAAATATATATGGTGCCTGTATATGGTGGTGCCTGATATGAGTGCATCAAACTCCAGGAAAGTTGTTGGTTGTCTGGGCTGGTGAGGTGTCTCAGTAGGTAAAGATTCTTGCCACCCAGCTTGACCATCTGAGTTTGATCCCTGGGACCCAGATGTTGGGAGGAGGAAGACTTCCGTTAGTTGTCCTCTGATTTCCACGTGCACACTGTGGTACATGGCGCGTGCGCGCGCATGCACACACACACAAGAAATGTAATAAAAGGATGTTGACTATTAGCAAGAATAGTCCAGTAGCTTCACTTGTAGGTGTGGGTAACCCTTAAAATGGATAGCACTCCTTGTCTCAAACTCATTTCCAACTTTTTTTGGATGTAAACACCTGAAAGAACCTGGCAGGAAGGGAGACCTCGGCAGCAGGGGTCTCTCAGTATGTGGTGCCACCTAGAGCAGCTGCAATAAATCCTGAATCCAGGGCATGGCTCAGATGGAGCTGTAGAGACAGACCTCGGTTGTTATAGTAACAGCATTCTAGTGGGAACTGTGAAGGCCAAAGTACAGAAGTGTCCACGTGCTCAGCTGGACAGAATCGTTTTGTCCTGAGGGATGAACAGGTTCCATCCCAGAGGCACAGGAAACAGCCAGCGTTGTTTCCGTTGTTTGGAGAAGTCTATGGTAACTGTAATGAACCGAATCAATAATGTAAGCACTAGTCAGTTTTAGTAAAAGGCCACAGTAAAGCTGCTTTGGATAGTTATGGGTATTTCCTGTATTTACTACCACGGTATTGTATGCACATTTCATTAGGTGAGCTGAAGAAAAAAGAATTGAGCCATTTCTGGGTGCCGTTGTAACACAAAGCTCAGAGGGCCTGATACACACACACACACACACACACACACACACACACACACGGGGGGGGGAGGGTGAGGTGATAAGGATGCTCGGCAGATGTTTACTTTGCCTTTATTGTGGCATCATGATTGACCTAGGACCACCCTAGCACTTAGTTACACAAACTCCTGCTTTGCTTTCCCCTTGTTTAACATTAGTGTTTGACAGAGAGGTCACCAGGTGTCTGCAGAACTTCCCTGAAGACATTGCTCCTGGAGTTACCAAGATAAAATGGTTCTAGTTACCAGGAGTTCTGAAGGAACCCATTCTAGAAACAAGACTTGATCAAGGATGAGGCAAGCCTCTGTCTTTAAATTGAGTTGACATATACAAAAATGCCCTTGGATTGACCTGAACCATCCGCATGCTCTGGAAGACTTAGGACAAGAATTTAACTTTTTTGTTTGTTTGCATTTTTAAGACAGGGTCAGGCTAGCATAAAACTCACAGTCCTCCTGTCCCCGCTCTTTGAGTGCTCAGCACTGTGAAGTTAAGGCGCAGGATGGATATTCTGCTAGGTTACTGTCCCCCACCGTCATTAATTCAGTTTTGTTTTAACACTTATCGACTTGTGAGCCTGAAAGCGAGCATTTCAAGCGGGAGTGAACTTTTCCATTTGTTTTCACCCGAGGCTCCTGGAAGGAAGCTTTGGTTAGTGTGATACATAAAACCATGAGCCGTGAGCATTCATTCCCCTTACTGACCTCCTCACATGGACTAACTTAGTAATTCAGAGGATGGTAACTTCTAGATTTTACCTCAAAATCCTGGTATTTAAGGGGGAGGCAAATCTTTGATCAGACACGGTTACTTTCCTGTTGAGGACCAACAACACTCATGAAGGACAGATTCTTTTTTTTTCTTTTTTCTTTATTTATTTTTATTGAAAAAATTTCCGCCTCCTCCCCGCCTCCCATTCCCCCCCCCCCCTCTTCCCACTCCTCTCCCCCTCCCCCCACTCCTTTCCCCCTCCCTCTCCAGTCCGAAGAGCAGTCAGGGTTCCCAGTCCAGGGTCCTCCCCCCTCCATCCAGGTCCAGGAAGGTGAGCATCCAAACAGGCTAGGCTCCCACAAGGCCAGTTCATGCAGTAGGATCAAAACCCAGTGCCATTGTCCTTGGCTTCTCATCAGCTCTCATTTGAAGGACAGATTCTTGACAGCACCTTTGTCCGAACCTTCTAGCAGCCTGAAGATGGATTCCTTCCTCCAGAATCTGTGCTTCCGTTTCTTATCCCTCCTTCCCCATGACATCTTCCATTTTCTCCCCACAGCCATCTCATCTCTTTTCTTTCTTCTTCCTTCCATTTTAGTTCCATGGACTGTTTTTGGTCACCACCGTGTTTTTGAACAGATAGCTTATTCTGTGGCCTCCCTTCCCTTTTGTCTCTGACATTTGGATTGCAGACTTCTATTCCAGAGTATGCTCAGATTGCCCACTGGGGTTTGGCCTCTTGGAATTTCTGTGGCAGTTCCTATCATTTTACTTTCTTTGTCCCAATCTGCTTTTTGAGAGCTGGAGAGAGAGAGAGAGAGAGAGAGAGAGAGAGAGAGAGAGAGAGAGAGAGAGAGAGAATGCTAATATGAGAGTGTCTAATGTGGCCCAGGTTGGCCTCAAACTCACTATGTAGCCCAGGATGGCCTTGATCCTCTGATTTTACTCCCAAACGGTAAGATTGCCGTCATGCTTGTCATGCCCAGCTCTTTAGAGCTGAATTTTTAGTTTGAGACATTCTCTCTTTTTCTCTTCCCTCATTAAACTCGTTGCAATCTCATTTGCCACTGAGCCCCTCCCTGCCCATACTGGCTGCACATGGCATTTCTCAATGAGCCAAGGTACAAACAGGGCTGTTTCCATAGTAAATGCTGATTATGGAAGCAGCATGGTGGGGTTTTTCGACTTTCCAGCTCATCTTGATGAACTTCTCTTCAGTGTGGCTTTATAACTTTGATTGAAATGCTCTGAATTGCCCAAGCAGCAGATGCTTCTGTATTCATGTGTAGATGTAAAACCATCTGAAGGCACCCAGAAATGAATGTTAGTTTATTCATTCTTATAGTCTTACTTCATTAGTATGGGAAAGTATGAATTATGAAAAGAAGGGAAAAATCCTTAAAGATAACTACTTTTTTCATCACAATCTGATTTTTACAAAATGTCTATTGAAAAGAAGGGAAAGAATTTTTCTTTGTGCCTTTGCCCGTTTTATGATATTCCCCTCCTCCCTACCTCTTATGGGGACCAAACCTAGGGCCTCACAAGCAAGCACTCTATCACTGACCTAAACCCTCCGTCCTGGCTGGGAGACTTTTTAAGTCATGAAGTATCCTGGATTTACTGTTGTTCAGTTCGTGTTTTCCCCTCTTGCCCTCTGTCTTACATTAACCACACTTTGCTTCCATGTCCGTAGGTGGTACCCAGTGCTTTCTGACCTGCCTTTAGTTTGTGCTGTGCTTTCTTGGTGAATGTGGAATTTGCTGCACACTGCTGCATCCCAGAGACCTACTGTTAGAAACACATGGAAAATGAGTTAATGTTTTCCTTATTTAATGACAGTGACTGAGGCTCAAAGATAAGATAGTCAACTGGAGGGAGCAGTTGACTCTGGAGAGGGTGAGGTGATGTGGCAACTGGAGTCCTGAAGAACACTATGTGGTCCAAAATGCTGATACTTAGTGACAAGACTTATTCTGATAACGTATATCACAGGGCATTCCTGCTTATGATTTTGAATGCCTAGATACTGTTTGTCTGTTCTTGTTCCCCTCCTCCCCCCTCCACATTTACCCTCTCTCCCATACTAGTCAAGTCTTGATACTTATAGCTAGTGTTGGTCACTTAGTTCTGGGCCATTCAGTAAAGCCCTCTTAGCTTTCTGAATGCCTTCTGAGTGCTTAAAGTTAAAAAACAGCAAAGCAGAGGGGGCATAGCTTTTGCTTTTATTGTTTAGACTGTTTTTTGACAGGTGGGGATGAAAATCAGTATTCATATTCTGAAATAAATAGGTCTTGGTACATTCATGTACCGAAGAGATTTTTAAAGCAAGCTGAGTAATTGGTCTTTCTTTTTAGGTTGATGCCTTTCCTCCCAATGGCTATGGCTTGTACAATATAGTGGGGAACGCATGGGAGTGGACCTCAGACTGGTGGACTGTTCACCATTCAGTTGAGGAAGCACACAATCCAGTGAGTATCTTGTAGAGAAGTCTTGGACCTTGATAGTGTGACACTTGTCCTCTAAGTAGGCAACAGCTAGGATTTCGTGTGTTTGTCTTGACATTATCCTCACATTTCCCTAAGGAATGCCACATGCATGTGTCTTTTTTCAGCTTTAGACTGCTGTACAAAAATGTCTTGTTTTGTGTCCCACTGGATTGTGATATTGATAACTATTTGGGGGCATTTACCACTGCTCCATATCAAAGTATGATAGATAAATGACCATAAAATTCTTTCGTGTTTTAATATTAACCATTAAGTTCTGGTAGATGATATTTTTTCATGAAACTCCTTGCCTGGGTTTTGATGGGTTCAATTTTGATTCAGCGGTGTTATTTGGAAAAAATGAGACTGGGTAGCTGTCGAGTCAGGGACCTGAGTCACTCAGTGGTTGTTTTGTGAACCTGTTTGTGTGATAGGAAAATGCACCATATTCCCCAGTAATAGAAGACCACCCTGTCCCTCTGAGTTTTACTTACTCTGCTTTGTAAAGAATGTTGAATGCAAATTTCCTGCCTCTAAAATTAAGCCCTCCAGTACTGCACATTAAAACTGAAATTTGAAATGAACATGTGTTTGGACAGCGCCTCTTTTACAAAGAACATCTTTGAATACTTCTTGTCTCTGAACACATTGGGGGTGGAATATGTAATAATTCCATCTCTAGCAAGCAGGCATTCGTCAATCTGACCGAAGAACAGTATGAAAACCAGCTCCCCGGTAATGCTCTGTGCTCAACCTTTGTAGTGCACAGAAGACAAAGAACATTCATTCTTTTCTTGTTCCTCCCTGGAAGGTTAACCAGTTTAGAGTCAATGAAAAACCTGTCGGACTCCATGCCTGGGGCCATTTTCAGAATGTGTAGATGAGTTTCTGTTTGATATGCTTGATTTTATTTCAACAGATAAATGTGAACTGTTCATGAATAATCTAGAGATATATATCTACTTTTTGGGGAGTGCAGATGAAAAAGCTGAGTGCTTTAGAAACTCTGTCCCCTTACCATTGTGGCGAGGCTGGTGGAAGTAGTGGGCAAATAACCTGTACCTTGAAGTAAGAATAAGATTGTGCATACTTGGGGAGTCTGTGATTGGGAGCAGCCACTCTCTCCCCTGGCAAGACGTGACTTGGCATTTGCTGTCAGAGGCAGAAATAGATTTTTTCCTGTCAAATTAAAGCATCTGCATGCTTGGAAGGGGCTGTGCAAGGCTCCAGAATTTTGGCACATTGTGAATGTATCTATCTGACCATCTGGCGTTGAGCTGAGTGCTCAGTAGCTTTCACTTTTATGGGCTTGACTTTCTTCTAAGGATTTGTAGAAAAATTTACATTTCCCTTTCACCAGTTGCAGGCTATTTCCTGGATGTCACTCTTAATCCAATGAAATTGTCCCATTTAGATTCATCCTTGTCCCAGTGGCCTCATTTGCTTTCTGATTTGATGGGTTGCAAGTCATCATTTTGAGAACTAAACCCCAAATCATTGATGACATCATTGAGATCTTTACAGCTCTGTTTATTCAGTAGATGAGCTGTCATCATTGTCTTTCATTAGTTACTTCATCTCTTGCATCAAGAATGGTCTTTGTGCAAAACAAATCTAATACTGCCGCTTTTCTATTTAAATTCATGCATGCATTCCTGCTTCCTTCCTTTCTTCCCTCCCTCCTTTCCTTCCGTTCTTCTTTATTGTTTATTTTTTGAGTTGTTGCACAGTCCAGGCTGACTTAGAGCTCATCATATAGCCCAGGCTGGTGTTGAACTCAGAAACCTCTTGCTTTTGCCTCCAGGGTGCTGCTGGACTTTCAGCTTTGTACCAGTATGCCTGGTTTTAAATGCTTTCTTACTATCTGCAAAATAAAGAAAGGGTACCTTTGGAATACGACTCTGAAAGCCAAAAATGGTTTAACCTTTGCCGCTGTCTTCCTCAGACTCAAGTCTCAGTTCTTTTTAAAACTCTCAACTGAAGTGTTAGAGAAGTCCAGAGGAGTGTAGAAAGCAGCACAACAGGAACCTGTAGAGCTGCCATTCTCTCTTTCTAACCAAAGGAAGAGGATAAAAGAGCAAAAGTTGTTCTTACCAGAACTTGGTGTTGTCAGTATTTTACATTTCAGCTGCCCCGATTCGTGTTTAGTGCTGTTTTGACTGTGTTTCTTCAGTCATTTAGAAGATTTACTTTCTAAAGAATTTTATTTTATGTGTATATGTACTTTGCTTGCATGTATGTGTGTGACCATGTGTTATGCTCATGGATGTCTGAAGAAAGCTTCAGATTCCCTGGAGCTGGAGTTAGATAGAGACTGTGGAAAGCTGCAGTGGGTGCTAGGGATTTAACCCAGGTCCTCTGGGAGAGGACAGCCAGTGCTCTTAACTGATGAGCTGTCTCTCTAGCTCTACTGTTATCGGTTTGCAATGTGTACGCCTGCTAAGAAACGCTTGATTAGCATGTCTGTGCACTCCTTTTGCCTTCGCTTTTTGGCCACATCTTGTTTTCACATGTACATTGCTATATCAGGAATTGAATTGGTCTTAATAATAAAAACCCGAGTGAGATATAGAGGCTAATGCTGAAAGAGCAGAGAAGCAGGGCAGCCAGCCACTTGTTCTTACCTCTACCAAATCCTCAGACCACATGGGCGATCCTGTCTCTAGGAATCCTCAGGATGAATGCTCTGACTGAATGCTGAGCTCCTGTCTCCTCCCACCTAATATTCCTCTCTCCACCCAGCCATATGCCTTCCTGTCTCCACCTCCCTAATGCTGGGATTAAAGGCGTGTGGCTCCATGTACTGGGATTAAAGGTGTGAGCCACCACCGCCTGGCTCTGTTTCTCTTTGCAACTGAATCTATCTAGTGTGGCCTAGGATGGCATTGACCTCACAGAGATCCATCTCCCTTTGCCTCCTGAGTGCTGAGATTAAAGGTGTACGCCACACTGCCTGGCCTCTATAGCTAACTAGTGGCTAACTCTGCCCTCTGATCCTCGGGCAGGCTTTATTTGTTATAGCACAAACAAAACATCACCACACATTGTTATTTTTGATTGAATACCAGACATTGTATGTGAAAAACTGTGGCAAGCTTTTGAGGTCTAGCTGGTGCAGTCTTTCTCTGGAGAGTCTTTATTTTTGATTCTGTGTCATATTAGCTTAATCAAGTTAGGGACTGAAGTGTCTGAAGCTGAGCTTTGCTCCGTCTCAAGCCTATTGCCAGTTCATCTTGGTTCCTCCGGGTACCAGTGGACACTCCTTGGAGGTCTGTGAATTCCAGATTGTTGTTTACTTGTGCTGTGAGTAGACAGGAAGTTGTCTCGCATGCACTGCCATCTGAGTTGCCAGGTCGCTAGGGAACCCCTTTTCTGGGATTTGTGCTCTGCAATTTTTACAGCTGTAAAGACTCTTGCTTGGTTTGATCAATTGCTATTTCTTTTTGAGGTTCTAATTTGTTTGCCTTTCTTCCCTAATGGCTTGTATATCTTTAGTGTTTGGCAAAGAACCTGGAGTAAAACCATTAACCTCATAATAATGTTAGCTCCAGATACTTCAGTCTCTGTTCAGACTCCAGGTGTGTCAGAGCAAAGATAGAAACAGACATCTTCATGGAGAGTTTTAGCCCCAAGACCCTATGTAAACATTTTGACCCAGAATCTGACCTCTTTAGTGCCTTGTGCTTGTGCTGGCTCCAAGACTAGCCCATAGCAAAACGTTTTAAAATTGCTTTAGAGAGCTTGGGGAAAGTCAGCTCTCTCTGTGCACAGCTTTATTCAGGAAATGCCTTTTTCTTATTCAGCGGCTTCTAGGGAGCAAAAGTTAATCATTAATTTTTTATTTTATTGGGCTGTCATCTATGGCAAAACAGGTTGTAGAAGCAGCCTGGCATGCTTTGTACACAAAGTCCCCAAAGAAAATAAGGTGTTTGGCCGTCTGCCATGAGGATCAGTTTAGTTTGCTTGTTTGTGTGTCCATCTGCTCGTCTGTTAGTCCTCTGTGGGTGCTTTCAGAGCACCGGCCCAGAAAACCCAAAGTGTGGCAGTTTGCTGTGATAATATCTTAACCACATAAAGCATACATGTTCCAAAAATATAATTTGTATTTTTTGTCCTCTTTTGCTTACATCTAGGCCCCATATTATCTGTGATAGTGCGTAGTGCTCTAAAAAAAAAGGTAGAGCTAAAAAAAGAAAAGTAGTGATTATTTAATGTTCTGATTTCCTACCCCTGCTTAGTTGCTATGGCTACCAGGTACCTTGCTGATGTGCAGCTGATGATGTGACGGGATAGTGTGATTTGTAGCATTTTTCTGATTCGAGGAGGAGCACAGTTGCATCTAGATGGGGTTGGTTGGTTGGTTGTTCTGAGATAAGATACAGGCTCTCATTCGGTAGCCCAGGCTGGCCTTGAAGTAAAATCCTCCAGCTTTTGCTGTGATTTCAGGAATGTGCCATCATGCCTGGCTCAGACAGCCAACCATCCCCTGCCCTACCCCCAGGAGGAGAGTTCTAGCCTTGGGATCACCAGGGTAACTTGTGTTTTCTAAGTCTACCCTGAACAACAGTGTAATGCATCTCAACTCACAACGTGCCTAAGCTTCTTTATGTATAGGTTAGAAATTAGAGTACCCACCTGATGAAGTTGTTGGGCGATTAGATGTGTTCATTATGAAACACTTTCTATTTCTGTGTCTCAAAAATATTGTTTTTCTATTGTTAAGCTGTGGTTTGACTCTCTAATTGGAATGTTGCTTGCGTCTGCCAGCAGAGATAATGGGGAATGTTGGCCTGGGGAAGCAAAGGGGAAGACAAATATACTTATGAATACCAGTTGTTTGCTATTCTCACCCCCTTGTCTTCAGTTGGCACATTCCTTACAATACAAGCCAAGCTCATGCTTCCATGCTTGTGACAATCCAGTGCAAACACGGTATGCCCAGACACATTCTTCCTCTCTTGCCTGCCAAGGCTTAGCCAGAG